GGACCAAAATGGAGTTAACCCTCGGGTGGTACTAATCTTGTACTTATTGCACTATATGAAGTTTATTGTTTGGGCAAATGTAGCGCCTATCTATTTATATTTTATTTGCATGCTGTAAGTGTTAATCACACTTAAAGCGGAGCTCCACCCAAATGGGACGTTCCGCTTTAAGGACTGCTCATCGCTCTCCATTAAGGACTGGCACCTTTGGGGGGCGGGCAACCGAATTTGACAGGTACCCACTACTAGGCGATCGGAAGCTGAAGGTCTCCCCCTGTAGTCTTTTGGGACACCTGACAGGTCCCAGAAGACTACAGGACCATTCATGAAGCGCAGCGCTACTCGCGCATGTGCAGTGGGTACCCGGGTGTGAAGCCGCAAGCTGTCACAGCCGGGTGCCCACACTAAAGATGTCGGCCTCCTGGAATACAGGACGGCCGGTGAAACGGGCTGCGGGGGACACACCACTGGACCGGGGGACAGGTAAGTGGCTGTTTTTTAAAAGTCAGCAGCTACAGTTTTTGTAGCTGCTGACTTATTTTTTGACAGAGTGAGTGGAACTCCACTTTAATTAGGGGCAGCTTCACTTAGAATAGAATAACATTGAGACAAAATTTGTCTAGGGTCACTACAGTTTGCCCAAGTTTTGGGGGCCTTACACTATATAGAGTGATTAGTTATAGGGAATATTTATTTGTATATACACATCCCTTCTATATTGTATTTTGATTATATACATATATATATATATATATATAAATAAATAGCCTACCTATTCTTCTATCTTTATTACCTTTCTTTTAGTCTGCTCTGGCCCAGTCACATGATCCTGTAGCTCCAGCTCCCCCTTGTCAGCAAGCAGCTGCTGCAGGGTAGAGGAGGGAACACTGAGAATGGCTGAGCCATGGGAGCCTATGGGTGATTTTGTCGAGCACACCATGACACAGGAGCTGGAGCTACAGGATCACTCGACCAAGATTAAAAAAGGTAAGTACAGACATCTTTTTTACACAGGAAAGGCAGGATAAGTAGGAAGGGGAGGGAACATTTTAACCACTTCCCGTCCGGCTCATGTACATAAACGGGTGGACAGGAGCAGTGCAGGAGCGGGTTGCCGTTCATAAACAGAGCCCGCATTTTCAAGCTGTGCGCGCTCCCTGGGAGTGCGCGGTACCGTGATCCGGTGCCCGGGAGGACACAGCGGAACACTGATCGCTGTACGGGACCTCTGTGTGAGGTCCCGATCATGTGATCATTTAGTGGCCAATCAGTGATCACATGAATAGTAGTAAGCAAGATGTCACTTCTGACATCATTGCTTACTACTAGTGAAATCTGTGAATGATCACAGAAGTCACATGGTACTAAGCTATTCACAACAGCCGTTTACCATATGACAAGCTGTGACCAATCACAGCTCTCACAGTATTTCTCAATGGTTGCAAGAATGCAGCCAGAGAGAAGGAGAAATGATTGCTTTTTACAGCAATCAGTGTAAAAAAAAAAAAAAATCTACATCACCCTCCACAAGTAGTAGTGTCACTATGGTGACATTGTACTGCTAGTGTGACAGTATGTTAAAAAAAAAAAAATAATAAAAAAAAAAAAAATAATGTAAAAAAAAACTGCAAAATTTTAATTTTTGGTTATAAACTAATTTGGGTTTTTTTTTGTTTTCTTTTTTACTAAAAAGAGAACTAAATAAATTTTGCCCAAGGTTTATGAAGAAAGATTATTTGCAAAATGTTATAAGAAAAACCTTTTTTTTGGACTTTTTCATTTATATAGCAAAAAAAATAAAAATCCCAGTGGTGAATAAATACCACCAAAATAAAGTTTTATCTGTCTCAAAAAATGCTAAAAAATCCATATGGGTACAGTGTTGCATGACCGTGCAATTGTCACTCAAAGTGTGTGACAGCGGTGAAAGCTGAAAATTGGCCTGGACAGGAAGGGGGTGAAAGTGTCCGGACTTTTGGCTTTAATACCACTGTAATATGCCCTATAGCATATACTTACCCCTCACGCTCTGTCCCACTCATCATGAACTGAAAGATATACCCCAGTACTTTCTGGTATGTAGCAGCACATGACTCACTCCATGTGACAGTACTGGGCAAGTCATAGTCCATGGCCCTGTGTAAGCTACTACTCCAGCGACTCCATGCTTACACAACATACCTTTAGCTCTGGCGGTTGAATGGAACAGCAAAGGAAGGCAGATGAACCTGTTGCTTTGCCCTGTGACCACTTTGTACCCACCTCAGTAGTCTCCACTGCATAATACTCACTGCTTCCAGTTATGGGGGAGCATGTGACCTCCTCCCATGCTACCGTACTCAGGCATGGAGGTGAATCATTAGGTCTCGGCAAAGACAAATGATGGAAAAGGTGAAATCACTGTCATCTATGAGTTCTGACACTAGCCGAAACCTGGTATCATGGTGGAGGCCAGGACAGAGGAAGGAGCAGTGAGGGAGCACTAGAGAGGTGAGTGCCTGAGAGTGACACTAGTTAGCACCTTGTACAACCCATATCTCAGGTTTAAACAAGAGGTTAAATACCAGATTGATTTTTTTTTTGCCAGAGCATTACCCCAAATGTAAATAAGCTGAACTTTTAAAAAAATTGCATGAATGTAATATATCTTAACTGTTTAAGAATAGAAACCCCATGATATTAAATGGCATTAATCATGTTTGGAAGGCACACTGGCGTCTTACTCCATTACACCAATCCTTGTGGTTAGTACCTCTTAAATAAAGTAACATGCATTTAAGGTCATTCAGAATTCTGAAACAAGGAGAAGACTCATGCTGGAGGCTAAAATGTAAAAGGTCAGTCCACCCATAGCAGATAATCCAGTATTTAGCAGAAGCTGCCAACTTGAATCACCTACCGACTTTTTTTTTCTTTTTAATACATAAAGACTTCAGTGGACAGATCTAAAAACTCAACCAGTTCTTCTGTGTACCTCCCCTGCCTAGGAGTCTCACTCCTCTTGCGTAAGGAAGTCAAATGTATCTGTATTCTCTATAGGCAAAGCGGCAGATGGGTAGACCTCAGAGGTCAGGTAATGGCACTTCCAGAAGAGCAAAAAAAAAAAGACTTGGGGCTGATTAAAACAGTATCTTCCACAAAATGAAGCATATGTTTTAGGTTGACGAATAATCCCTTTACAAGTTAGTTCATTCAAAATTAAAGGCTAGGTTCACCTTAAAAATAATAAATTACCATGTTTGCAGGAATAAAACGTGTTTATTTTTTTACACAGAAGTCTGCAAAGCTCTGCTCTTTCTACTGCTCCCTGCCTGTACAGAGCTACAGGTATTCAACCGGAGAACTGGATGTCAATGGACTAAGACTTTGGTGATTACTGCGCTTGTATTTCGTTGGGAGCTACAAGTCTAAGTCTGTGGGTGTAGCATGTAACATGTTAAAAAAGGTGGCGTTGACTTTTAATAATTTTATTAGAGGAGAAGCCTGATGCATCTTGTATCACCTGCATACTCTGACAGGGGAATATCCTTCCCAAAATCTCAAATTCTGTTCCTGCCCACCTTTCAGTTTTGGATGTTCCTGACCATCTATATCTGTTTCAGCACCTTTTGTGATCTTCCCCATAAAATTAAACCAACAAATAATGCATGAAGCCCATAATGTGGTCATGGCAGGTGTGCAGATCCAGGACCTCAACCACATAGACCTCCCAAAAAACCTTCATTCTCCGGCAGTAAACCAGGAAAGTAGCATAACTGCACCTGCTTGCCACTTCACAAAGGATAACGCTTTGGAGGCAGTTGGCATCGGATGGGGCGTGCCATGCCAGTACAGACAATGCAAATGGGGCCAGCAAACACAAATGCTCCAGCGCTTGGGGTGGACTCGATGCAGGCTACAACCACATTAAGAATGTCCTGGAACATACACACCTTGCTGCCCTCAAATAGACTGGGGGAATCCAAATATACTGAATGAGGAAAGAACAAACAGAGGGTGCACAGGCCGAGTGCATTACCATAAAAAATGTTTAATAAAAAATAAAGTAGGTGTTGTACTCACAAACGACAATAAAGTCAAGGCACATCATAAAGAACAGCTGGGTCAACACCGCACGGTGAGTAACAGTCCGCAATAGGGAGTGTAGACATCCAATAGGCTCTGAGGAAGAGGCAAGTCCTCGAAAACACGTCAGCCTATAGGATTTCTACACTCCCTATTGCGGACGGTTACTCAGGTTGGTGTTGATCCAGCTGTTCTTTATGATGTTCCTTGACTATATTGTCATTTGTGAGTACAACACCTACTTTATTTTTTATTAAACATTTTTTATGGTAATGCACTAGGCCTGTGTGCCCTCTGTTTGTTCTTTCCTCATTCAATGCAAATGGGGCAGCTTTTCTGTGCCTATTGCAATCTTCATCAATGTCAATCAAGGGATGGAGGAGCCAAGGCTTCTACCTTGCCTAGCGTCCACTGTGCCAGCATCTATCAAAAGTGGGATATCAATGTAGCCTTACCTGTTACAAGTAATGAAAAGTTTTGCAGTGACATTTTTTTCCCAGCAGGAGTAAATTGGATCATGCTTTGCTGGGTTTTTTTGCCTTCCTTTGGATCAACTGTGGGTATAGGATTATAACTTTTTTTTTTTTTCTATGGTTGAACTGGATGGACTTTTGTCTTTTTTCAGCCAGACTAACTATGTAACTATATGCAACGATGAATCAGAAACCTTTTCCCACAACACACTTTCTAAACCTAGCCATGCAACCCTAGGAGCCATAAGCCCAAATGGCATTTTTGTAGGATTCAGCAGAATACTTACATTTGGGGCCAATACATTAAACAGCCTTAGCGCCTCTATTCTTGACCCTAAGCAAGTCATGTTGTATGCCACCACAGGTCCACTGAAAAGTACCCATCCAAAATACATGTTTGCCATAAAACCCCATTCTTTTCTGATGAAAACATTTGTTCTACCACATGAACTGGCTACTTACTATTTAGCAGAGTCGTTAAGCTGATATTCTCTGGATCGGTTGAAGCACTCCTGGATTCCAGAATCTGCCCAAAGTCTCATCATAGCCGAGAGCAGTTCAGGAGAGAAAGGTTCCGTATCTTCCATGCGACTCACCACATCACACACCATTTTGGCGTCGGCCTGTGAAGGAGAGAAATGAAATGCATGTTAGATAAGAGATCACCCAAGGAGCTAGTCTCTGCTTCCCCTTACTGCAGCACTTTTCTCTGATTACGTGTACAAAAACTAAGCACTGCTAAGTCTATGGGAAAAAGACAGGCTACAGAAATTACGATTTTAAGACTGGAAATAGTTAAATCAGCTACCATGGAAAGAAAAAAGTTTTTATTGTTACCACACAGGTGCACTTACTGTATAAGTACCGCTACGGGAAAAGATCTACTGCAGACACAGAGATTGCATAATACCTTGCTGGAGACCTAGGCAATTCAAACTAAGCATGGAAAGTAAAAGGTGCAAACATGGTGGTTACTTTCACTAAAAACACATGCCAATGTGATTAGGAGATCCAGATTTAATGGGATTAACCAGCTGAATTTATATGAAACTCTTGACCTTCCTCTGTAAACATTTGTATTTACCTAATCCCCCTGAAGCCCCCACAAGCCTTAAATTCAGCCTTTTTTAGCAAATTTCGATCAGTGTGTGGAAATCACTGCTGAAACATGTTCCCAACTGGCTGCCGCTGCTGATCAGTGCATTCTGACATTTTTCTGTAAAAATTTGTATTTACCTAATCCCCCACCAGCCCAAGCCTTAAACTTGGCCATACAGGGATTGAAATCCAGCCAGTTCAGCAGGGACTGGCAGAATTTCAATCAGCATGTGGAAATCACTCCTGGAACATGTTGCCAACTGGCTGCAGCTGCTGATCAGTGCATTCTGACAGCTGCAAGTCCTGCTGTCAGGACACAATGTTCCAGCAGGGGGATTCCTCCATCAACCTTGTTTGTGTGGATGGAGGAATCTGCTAGTTTTTTTTTTTTTTTTCGTTCAGTCCGCTAGATGTGAGAAGAAAAATAAAAACATTGTATAGTCAGCTTCACTATTGCGTATTAAGTCTGTTCATTAAAGGACAATAAGGAAGAGTGGGCAAGGCCAAGCTTGTCTTACAGGAAAAGTCGGAGAGTTGCATATCATTTCAGCTGTCCATAGCTCTAGGCCTCACAATGGATTGGACCTAGGGTTTTTTACTGACCATAAGCTATGCGTATGTACTTTATTTTATTAGTATTCTTAGCTTGAATTTCCTAGGTTTGTGATAGATTTAACATAATAGTTATAGGGTAGGGTAAAAAATAGGGTTTGGGTTCAGGGGTTGGGTTCATACTAAAAGTTTAGGTTTAGCTGCCAATTTGGATGCAAAGGCTGAGGTTCAAAAACCTCAAAATAAAAATAAAAAAAAACAACCCCCCCCCCCAAAACAAAAGCTATTGGAGCTCTTGGAGCTCACATAAAATGGTTATTTGCAATGGATTTGCACAGAGCAGTTCAAATCCTCCTCTTCTCAGGTGCCCCATAGGAGTTCCTAGCCCCTCCCCCTGCTGAGTGTCCTCAGAGCAAGCCGTTTGCTCTGGGGGCACTTGTGCATGCTCACTCCAGAGTTTCCTCTTCCCAAGCAGATCCTTCGTCACTGGCTGTGACGGACAGCAGAGGAAACCAATGGCTCCCACTGCTGTGTCTCAGCCAATGAAAGAGAGACCCAGGAAAGCCTTGGCTCTCGTGCACATTGCTGGATTGAGATTGGGCTCAGGTAAGTCTTAGGGGGGCTGCAGGGTGAACTGCACACTAAAGTTTCTTTTACGTTCATGCATAGAATTCATGTAGGTAAAAACTGTCAGCCTTTACAACCACTTTAAACTACCAGCAAAATCTTTGTGTGACATCCAGTTGCTTCCCCATGTGAGACGTCAAATGCAGCAAAGTGTGAGATAATCAAATCCACAATATAAAGCATCATGACTCAAGTATCCAAAGAGCCTCTTTTCTTGATTGTGCTTTCCTTTCAGAGGAGAACAAAAGCCCTTCTGAAATATTCTGCAACGTCCCCCGTCAATGAAAACACTAACCTATATGAAGTCAGATTCTCATGGTTCATGTTCTCCTGGCTTGGTCCTGTGACAGTGTGACCATACCAAGGCAGAAAATTACTGTATCAGAAAAAGTCAGCAGATCGCTGGACATTTTAGAAAATCTTCAGGCAATTTCTAAAATTTAAAACTTAACTATTTCAATGCTATACAGAAAACTCCACTGACCCTGACTGTTCTTGATGAAAAGGAAGATTTTGTGTGTAGACATCACCACTCGGCCAGTTCTGTATGGTGAGCAAGATATTCTGGTAACCATACTTAACATTTGGAGGGTCTCATGAATCTGTCATGTATGTACTTCAAGCTACACTTAGTAAAGAAATGTTGATCGTCCTTTTACTAAATACTTTCCCCTCTGTATACAAAACCAATATACATATATATATATAAAAAAAATAAAAATAAAAATATATATATATATATATATATATATATATATATATATATAAAAAAAAAAAATATATATATATATATATATATATTAAAAAAAAAAAATATAATATATATATATATATATATATTTAAAAAAAAAAAATATATATATATAAAAATATATATATATTAAAAAAATATATATATATATATATATAAAAAATATATATATATATATAAAAAATTATATATATATATATATACAGTATATATATATATTAAAAAAATTATATATATATGTATAATATATATATACACGCATATGTGTATTTAAAAACCTAAATGCTCTCTTAAAAGACTGTTTATTAAAAAAAAAAATAGTTTAATTTGATAATGCTCTGGGAGAAAAGAGTTAAATTACATCACTTCCATAGTAGATCATTCTATATTATGCCTGTCAGAGCAAAAAATGCCTTTGACACCTGAATGTGAGGCTTCATTAGATCCCAGAGTCCAATTAATTGTGTGTGAGAAGCAATACACTTATACTTGTCCCTCTACAGGGGGCATTTCACGCTGGGCCTAACCTTTAACACAAATCCCCCCTCCCTGGGCACACTGGGCATGATTTGCATTTGAAATGTATATCTTTCATTGGGCCTAATTTTTTGCTTCCTGTCCCCCATGTGCTGTCTTAGAGCCCCTCCTGGCGGAGAACTGAGCCTCGCTATCAGTCTAGCCAGCTTCTAGAAATATGGGAGTAGGGGGCCATTTCATGAAAACAAATTGAGGGGTAGTTATGCAGACCAAGACTAACAACATTTCTGTATAGAATCCACTCCAGCTGAAAAGAAGAGCATTTTCTTTTGGCAAGGCATTCCCAATTTTCAACTCAAAATTGTTTTCTTTCATTTCTCCACAAGTGCTTTTCTTTCATGTCTGAATAATTAACAGGTATACTTAAGTACAAGTGTCTCTACAATACTCAACTTTTTTTTGAATGTTCACTTTATGAAGGTCTTTCATATTTACAAATGTTAGCATAAAAGAAAAGTAAGGGTGTATTGTTCACTGTATTTTACTTTGTCATTCATTCAAGAAATAAAGGGGATTTTGTTGTCAAGGGCTACAGAACTATAAAGAACCCAGAGTTTTTTAACTGCTTTTGCAATCATTTAATAAAGAAAAGTTTCAAGTGGCTTGCAAAACGTGCAAGCAATGGAAAAAAAAATCTTCTAACCACTTTTAGATCAGGCATTTTCTGACACTTTTTATTCAGATGTAAAAAAAAAAAAAAAAAAAAAACAAAACAGGAAAAAAAAGTATTTTTTACTAGAAAGTTACTCAGAAATTCCAAACATATTTATTTAAAGCAGAGGCCCTAGAGAATAAAATGGTGGGGTTGCAATTTTTTTATGTCACATGGTATTTGCACAGCGGCTTTTCAAATGCAGTTTTTTTTTTAAATACAATTTTTTTAATTTTAATGCACACAAACACAATAATACCCAATTGTTTGGTAAAATTTTAGTAACTAGATACCAAGCATGTCACGCTTTAAAACTGCGCACGCCTGCACAATGGCGTCAAAACGACATAAGTTTTATGATCCATAGTGGAAGCTTTAAAAACCTTTACAGGTTACCAGCTTTAAAATTTACACAGGAGGTCTGGTGCGGGACCGATGCATGCATTCTCCTGTGTGTGTGAGTATGGGGCGACATGGGCGTTTTAAATTTTTTAATTTATTTTTTACACGGTCGCTTTACTTTTTTTTTTTAATCACTTTTATGGTTATCACAGGTGAATATAAATATCCCCCATGATAGCAATAGGCAGTGATAGGTACTCTTTACAGAGAGATCTGGGGTCTATTGGACCCTAGATCCCTCTTCTGCCCTTCATGGCATCTGATCACACCAAGATTGATGTGATCAGGTGCTTTCCCTAATTTAAAAATTATGCTGTTTACTTCCGGAGAACCAGGAGTGATGAATGTTCATTGCTTGTGGTTTCCTATACCATAGATATCATCAGAGCCATTCCAGTCCCAGATTACCTTTATGGTTAGCCGGCGGAAGCACTGGCTGGTTGCTCTGGTCACCAGGTGGAACGAGAGAGCCAGAGAGCCAAGATAAGCAATTCAGTGGCTAATTAACTGCTAGGTTGCTTTTACAAGCCGACCGCTGGCTCTAAAAAACAATACCGGGATGGGTAATTTCTGCGGGTAAGCAGCTGGTGCGAGACTTGACAAGTTTATCCATCTTATCTTGCTTCTTGCTTTAGAGGGTGTCGTGAGATTGGCAACATGACCCACATCTGGTGGAGCCACTTATGGATAAGGGTTTATACCATGAATAATTAAATCTAGGATCGAAATCCAAAATAATCCTTGGGAGGCCATCCTATATAAACCTACTGACATCCCTTGTCATAGCTGTATACTTCTAACACAAATTCAAGGCTACCAAACAAACCATGGCCCAAGTATGGAAACCTCCATCTCTCAATTTCCTGGAAGTTAAAACCCATACATAGGACAAATTTTTCTACTGAAAAATGAAACTCCATATTGGAAAATTCTCACAATAAATTACCTAGTCAATTCAATGCATTAAGGTAAAAAAAAAAAAACCCTTCTGTGCTGCAGGATCCCCCCAGCCCCACCCCTTTACTCTTACCTGAGCCTTATCCAGCTATGTGCATGAGAGCCGCTGTCTCCCTCCTCACTGGGCAGATTGATAGCAGTGGGAGTAATTGGCTGTGCTGAAGGAGCGGGGGGTGGGGGCTAAGCGTTCAGTGTCAATAGACACAGACAGGGTATCATGGGAGAAAGCCTGCACTGGTGCCCCCATGGAAAGTAACTTTCCATGGGGGCACTTTCCGGAGAGGAGGAGCCTGGAACAACAGCAGGGAACTAAAAGGTTTAATGTTACTTTAAATTTCAAAATGATGCATCTGTGTATTGGATAAATGTATCCATAATTTTTGCTTAGGGATCAAGCATAATACATATTGGGCAGCCCCCTGTATAGCTGGTGTAACGGAACTGACCCAGACTGCGTTTGAGTACTTCCGTTAGAATACCATTCCCCATCCGAACATCGACAACAGACACCACAGCCGACCATACAAGACTAGACGACAACAGTCTTGAAGTAAACCAGGAGGTAGACTAGTTTATTTGAACATAGATATAAGATATATACACTCAGGGGACAATCCACCCTCCATACATAATGACACAGGGCGGGGCAATCGACATTTAGTAACAAGAGACACACAGGTATTCAAACTTCACACCAGGAGACAGTCCCATCAGGAAGGAGGGCTGCTGGAGACATCTCCTCACTAAGCTATTACACAAACATCCCATAATAGTTTTTTTCCCGTGCCAGACAGACAATAGAACAATGGCAGCCACATATCATTAAACAATCAACAACCCCCCACCCCAATATTAGGTGGGGCCTTTTAGTATTTGCATGGTCTTCTAAGGGAGTGGTATAAAATGCTATAGACATACACACACCACAGTCTGATAAAAAAAAATCCAAACACCTTGATTGTATTGTAAGCACATTAGATTGGGAAGTGTTCCCAAGGCAAAAAGCAATATGATCCTAAAAAAAAGGTTATTGAATTAGTCATGAGTGAATGGGCATGAAAACCAGGTCAATTGGCAAACTGCTAATTTTTGTATTCTCTCGAATATATGAAAAAAGATTTTGTCCGTTCTATGGAGAATCAGATAATTAATGAATCAAGACTGACAGAATTCCTAAACTGCATAATTTTTTGAACACCAGACACTTCTACATGGAAATATTCAGAAGAATCGAACACGGAATAGACCATTCTCCTGATCCGATCATTAGAAAGAACCTGCAAAACCCCAGTCGGAAGGACAGAAAGATGTTTTTTATAATGAAGAAAACTGAATCCTGTGTGTGTAGTTAAGTCTTACTATTACATCTCATACCTACGTCATTATATATGTGTTTACATACATGGTCAAGAATAGGGACTGCACCAAAAATGGGTCAGGAAGCTTTTTTTTGTACTTGATCACTGTCAGAAGCAGAATGTTTAATACAAAGTTTGGAGCTTCAGTGATAGTTTATTGGCTAACCTTTTAGTCCGTTTTGGGATAAAGGTTTTACATGTATAAACAAAAGGTGATCATTGTAAGCACCCCTGCTAGTGTTAAATGGTTTGCATTGTCTCTGCGACTGATACATTCTGCGACTGATACATTCTGCTGAAAAACAACAGATGTCCGGGCCAAAAGAAACAGAAAAAAGAAAGCCTAAAAAGAAAAATGAATGCAGCCCATCACATCTACGAAATGGCAAGCTGCAATATAATAAATGTTTACTTTTGATTTTTAAACAGCACTGTTGATGGCAAGTACAATGAATGAGTAGTGATGGCTACTGTGCTAGGTTAAAATCTTCAGTCCTTTGCCTCCAGATCCCTCCACAGCTATGACCTTTTGGTGCTGCAGGGGTATTTATGGGCAGCTGCACCCCATGCCAGGAACTTGTCAAAACTGCCGACTATACCTGCCCTTTTTACCCCAATGCGCCATTCATAGAAGCCGTACTATTGGTTCCCTCTATGAATGGAGGGTGGGCAGATGAATGAAAGTTCTGCCTCTGCCATTCATAGTGAGAGACACAAAACTGAAGAGGAACTAAAATGCTAGATAAGCACATTAGATTGTGAAATCTTCTTTACCAACAAACAGGACTAGATTTCCATCACTTGAGCTTCTAGGCACTCATCCTTTGTTACCAAAAAGGAGACATACCCTGCTAGACCACCACCTAGGTCCCCTTTACTCATACGTGTTGTTGTGGGGTGTGACACACACACACAAACACACCTCAGTGTTTCTCAAACCCTTTTGCAGTCAAGGCTCCCTGCAAAATTCTGCAAAAAATCTCAAGAGCACCCCATTCAAGTACACCAACAATAGAGGTGATTTATTTTTCCAAAGCAAATCCACATTTGCACACTGGTACCAATTTACTCTACGAGTAGGGTATAATTCCAGTGTGTCTCTCAGGTTTCTCTCCCTCACTCTGCTAATGTGTGACTCCAGTGCTGATGTTGAGGGGCAAAGGGGGGGGGGGCAAACAACGGATGATGTGCACTACCCCATGTCCTCCCTTATCAACTGATGATGTATCATTGGTTAGTTAGGATGCAGGCAACTAGAAGGTCATACATGTGCACAATGAAAATCTGTGCTTTGTGTACTAAAAGGAAGGATTGATCTACCTGCTGAGGGCTTGTATACAATTTTTGGGCATTTTGCCAAGCCAACCCCTGAAGAAGCCTGAAGGCACCCCTGAAGAAGCCTGAAGGCAGCCCCAGGTTAGAGAAAGGCTGTCATATCTGATATTTTATGTTGTCATCTTAGAAATGGTCCTTAAAGCAGCCCATACATTTTTGAACGTGCAAAATCATACTCCATTACAAAAAGCAGCAGAATAAACCAAAAATCTGACGTACTTGTTTTTAATGCATGCAGCACATCATAAATTGCAGTGTTTTGGCATGTGCGTTATGTTTTCAGTACATTAAGGAGGCACTAGTAAGGTAACCATCACAGCACCTCAATCCAACGTGTTGAACCAAAAAACATGGGGGTTTATTTGCAAAACGCTGGAGAGTGCAAAATCATACTCACTTCTTTCTGCATAGGAAGACCAATCAGCTTCTAACCTCAAAGCTTATAAGTCCGCCACCCAAAAAGCTTTAAGTCTGGTGACTTGCATGGCCACATAAACTGTTCCTAGGACGCCAATTGGGAGTTTGCTATACAGAAGTCACCTGATTTTGGCACTCTCCATCCATCCTTTAGTAATAACCCCCCCTCCCTTTACCTGTAAAGACGTATCCGTTTCAGCCAAACTTAGTAATTGTATTGATCATTTTTGCTTACATGAGATTCCTCAGAAACTTCCTACTAATGGACAATAAAAAAAACTATCCCACGAAGTGTTTGTTCCAATAGGGATACAAGTCGACTCTTCTTAAAGAGAAAATAAGCTTCACTTCACAGAACCATAGGGCCGAAACCTTTTTAATATGCAAATGTTTTCAGTTAGTCAACAAAGAATGACACAACCTCTAACCAAAACTAAACCTTCAGTATCGCAACGCAAGTCATCATCTTCTTTCTGCATCCTATCAACAACCATTGAAGCAATTAATATGGATTGCTATAGGCTATTGCAGTTGGTCAACTGCTCTTTGTCATTAAAATGGACCTAAGCTCCAAAAGTGTAGATTTGCTACAGGAAACCTAAGGAAATGTTAACGCTGAACTCCAGTAAAAAGACAAAAAAAATTGGGGAGTTATAACAGCAACAGTCAAATAATTTACCTCTAATGAAGAGTGTCCTGTCTCCTGCTGACTGTTGATTACTGTAACAAATCCTTCCTTTTGTGAAGCTGGATAGTACACTCACAGAGGTGATCTTCCAAATGCCACGAAGGTTGAGAGAGAACAGCTGCGGCAGTAAAAGGATCCCTTTCACCCCTTTTTTTTACCCCTCAAATAAATATTCAACAAACTGCTTGAATATCCAGAGGTGAATCTTTTTTTTGGAAAGGTATTCATTTTTTTTCATTTGCCAAAAAATACTGGGGTTTTACTAAACCTGGAGAGTGCAAAATCTGATGCAGCTCTGCAAAGAAACCAAACAGCTTCCAGTTTTTTTGTTTGTCAAAGCCTAAATTAACAAACTGAAAGTTTAGAAGCTGATTGGCTACCATGTATACCAGCTGCACCAGATTTTGCACTCTCCAGTTTTAGTAAATCCCCCCACCCAGCTTATAACAATTAATGGTAATTTACAGGTTGCAAAATACAAAATAAGACACAATTCACACATCCTCAAATACTGGAGATCAACTCTACATAACATTCTGAATAACAGAGAGATGGAGATACAGAACGTATATTTTGAGGTATAGCTTAGAGATGACCAGCACTCTGTTTAGGTAAGGAAATCTGCTGAGAGGCAGAGGACATTGCAGTCCAAGGTCTCCAGATCTTTGTAAATATAGCAGAGGAACACAATGTGAACTTCTCAAAAAGTGCCCCGCTTCACCCACCTATACACCAATCAATCCTACCGTTCAATCTCAATTTCCAAAATTATACATGTGAATCATGCAATTCTAAAAGGACTTCAAATAGTTATACATAAATGTGCAAACTAGGTGGTCCATAAACAGTCCAGAAAATACAAAAAATCACTTGAAAGCTTCTTCTCATAAGGAATAACCTTCAATTGTGTTAACGATTATTCCAACACCTCTTGTGCTTGCAACTAATATCCAAATGTGATATCAAATGCCCTCCACCAGATATGCTTTCACCTGGTTAACATGACCAAACCGCTAGGCGAGATCATATACAGCTTGTACCTTTCTATTAGGACTGGTGCTATTATCTAGCTTGGATGGGTCTACACCAGTGTTTCTCAACCTTTTATCAGCCAAGGCGCCCTTTTAAAATGATGGACAGTCTTGAGGCTCCCTCTAAAATGATGGACAGCCTTGAGGCACCCTCTAAAATGATGGACAGTCTTGAGGCACCCTCTAAAATGATGGACAGTCTTGAGGCACCCTCTAAAATGATGGACAGCCTTGAGGCACCTTCTAAAATGATGGACAGTCTTGAGGCACCCTCTAAAATGATGGACAGCCTTGAGGCACCCTCTAAAATGATGGACAGCCTTGAGGCACCCTCTAAAATGATGGACAGCCTTGAGGCACCCTCTAAAATGATGGACATTCTTGAGGCACCCTCTAAAATGATGGACATTCTTGAGGCACCCTCTAAAATGATGGACATTCTTGAGGCACCCTCTAAAATGATGGACATTCTTGAGGCACCCTCTAAAATGATGGACAGTCTTGAGGCACCCTCTAAAATGATGGACAGTCTTGAGGCACCCTCTAAAATGATGCACACTGGTACTGACTAGTATTCCAAGGTTTCTCTTCTTCTTCAGTTTTCTCCATCATGGAGCTGATGTGACCCCAGCACTGATGGAGAGGGGCAGGGGGAGGGTCAAACTAGGATGCTGTGCAGGCAACTGACATCATCTTTTATCAAATGATGATGTCATTGGTTGTCAGGACACCAGCGGCTAGAAGGTCGTAATGGTGCACAATGAAAATCTGTGACTTTGTGTAACTAAAAGGCAGGCTTGTTCCACCTGCTGGCTTGTATACAAGTTTTGTGCAATTTTTAGACATTTTGCGAAGGCACCCTGAAGAAAACTCGAGGCACCCTGGTTAAGAAAGGCTGGTCTACACTCCCAAATAATTCCACCTTTTCTCCTCCTCATCAATCTTCCTCTGGCATTTATGAATAGGAGAAAAGATCACCATAACATTGTGCTCATCCTTTTAAAACATTTATTAGCTTAAAATAATTTTAAATTTTACACTGACATTTATGTGTCTGAGCACACCACACTATAAATATCGCTGTGTACTGCAAAATGCACATCCATACAGATAGTCTGTAGATAGCTATCGTGTTACCGTGTCCAAATACTACCAAGCGTCATGACGTCAAAGCCCCTCTCCATAAATGTTTTAAAAGGATGAGCACTATGTTTTGGCGATCTTTTCCCCTATGCATAAATGCCTGAGGAGGATCGATGAGGAGGAGAAAAGGTGAATTATTTGGGCGTGCAGACCCATCCAAACTGGATGATAGCAGCAGTCCTAATAGAAAGGTACAAGCTGTATATGATCTCGCCTAGCGGTTTGGTAACATTAACCAGGTGAGATCTTATCTGGTGGAGGGCATTTGATATCACATTTGGATATTAGTTGCAAGCACAAGAGGTGTTGGAATAATCGTTAACACCTGAAGGTCATTCCTTATGAGAAGAAGCTTTCAAATGATTGTTTGGATTTTCTGGACTGTTTCTGGACCTTCTAGTTTGCATATTTATGTATAACTATTTGAAGGCATTTTAGAATCGCATGATTCACATGTATAATTTTGGAAATTGAGATTGAATGGTAGGATTGATTGGTGAATAGGGGGGGGTGAAGCGGGGCACTTTTTGAGAGTTTTCAATTATTTATTGCGCTTTACATAACAATTGTGCATTCACAGCAGTCCCTAACCCTCAAGGGGTGAACAATCTAAGGTCCCTAACTTACATTCATGCATGCACATACTCGGGCCAATTTAGACAGGAGCCAATTAACCTACCAGCATGTCATTGGAGTGTGGAAGGAAACCGGAGTACCCTGAGAAATCCACGCAGGCACAGGGAGAACATGCAAACTCCAGGCAGGTGGTGCCGTGGTTGGGATTCGAACCAACGACCCTAGTACTGCCAGGTGGAAGTGTTGACCACTTAGCCACTGTGCTGCCCATGTTAGAACACATTTGTATTGGGGTGTGCATAGTACATAAGGATTATATTTTATTAGTGTATGCATAGCAGCTCACAAGAGTCACAATGTGTATCTGTACATACAAGCACAGCAGCTGAAACCTAGTACCACTCACAAGCTGAGGACTGCAATGCTTCAGGGCCCCCAGCAACAAGAGGTCTGGCGTTTTAGGGGCAGCGTCCTTGTATATTTTAAACAAAATACAAGGTGTTCTATGAGTGGATGAGGGGTACTGACATTCATTCACACCCTCTGCACTTTGCATACCGTGAAGGGCATCATTCAAAAAGACGGAGAGCAGGACATGGTAAGTCAGCGCCAGGAAAAAGATCAGCTGCAGAGATAGTAAAGGTGCAAATGGGGGTTAGTTCTTCACCCTCTACTTGCCCTTCACGTGTTCTTTACATCTGGGCCATGTTTTTCCATAAAACAATCTAACATGTGGTGTAGAATGTGCAGTGCAGTTATAAAGCCTTCTTCATATCTGGAGGAGTAAATAAAACACAAATCTGACATACAGGACTGATATGAAAGCTGCAGGCCACTGGCCTGCCATAGAACTAAATAGCAGTCCTTTCTGTCCTCGTCACCAGAAAAGCACTTGGGTGCAGACTCAAGAGAAGCTCAATTAATGAGCTTCGTTACCGTGGCAACATTTCATCTCCCAGCCGCCTGAGCCCAGCTGAAGATACGTGTAAAAAATGAATAGGAAAGGGGAGGAAAAAAAAAAAAACCAAACAAGCTCAGAGAAGGAAAATATGAAGAACAGCATCAAATGGAAACCACGAAAAGGGTGTGTTCCAGCGACGGGTATGGTTCTCTGGTCGGTTCAGACTATTTTTAGGAGTTCTACACATCATGGGATTTCTTAAAGCCTGCCAGGCCGACATGCCGTTCTGCATGCATTTTCAGTTCAGATCAGAGGCGGACTGACAACTCATGGGGCCCCTGGGCAATAGGGGATCATGGGGCCCCTGTGTCCTTGCCCAAACTCATAAAAGCCTATGAAAAAGGTACCAGGGGCATTTCATGGGGGCCCCTACTGACCCCGGGCCCTCAGGCAGTGCTCGAATTTCCTAATGGTCAGTCCGCCCTTGGTACAGATAAAATAGGTTTCATCTATCCAAGTACTGTTTGTCAATTTTGTAAGCAAGACTCTGAAGAATGAAACTGTCCTCTATTGCAGAGATATTGAAGTAAAGATTCATGGTGATGTATGATCAAACAGGCATATTAGAACTCATACGTATCATTTTGAATAGGAATGCACCGAAATTATCAGCTGAAAGTAGGGTTATCAGCATTTTGCCATAAAAAAAAAAAAAAGGTGCCGATAGTGACATGCTGTGCCCCATAGACTTCAATGCAAAAATGCCATCTAGTGACTTCAATACAAAAATGCGCCCACAGATTCCTGCGTAAAATCGCGTCCCACAGGCTCCTGCGCAAAATCGCGTCCCACAGACTCCTATGCAAAAATCGCGCCCCACAGACTCCTATGCAAAATCACGCCACACAGACTCCTATGCAAAATTGTGTCCCACAGACTCCTATGCAAAATCACGTCCCATTGACTTCTATGCAAAATCGCATCTCATTGACTTCTATGCAAAATCGCATCCCGTTGACTTCTAAGCAAAATCGCGTCCCATTGACTTCTAAGCAAAATCGCGTCCCATTGACTTCAATGCAAAAATGCCAGCCACATTCAATTTTAATTATTTTTTAAAAAACTCGGGGCCAAGTGCATCTTGAATTTTTGTTTTCAGCACTGGAATTTAAAATTTCGGTGCACCACCAAGCAGCCAAAATTCAAATGTATGGAATACTTTCCATAGACCAGTTTTTCTGACCTCTCTGCACAATAGTTCAGGCAGTTCCAACTTTTTTTCCCCATTTAGGACACTAGCACACATATGATGCCGATAAAATGCTGAATAACATCATGACAACACAGAGCCTTCTCAAAAAGGGGTCTTCATTTAGTTTATTTCAGGTACTTATATAGCGCCGTCAATTTACACAGCACTTTACATATATATTGTACATTCACATCAGTCCCTAACCCTCAAGGGGTGTACAATCTAAAGACCCTAACTCACATTCATACATACACATACTAGGGACAATTTACACAGGATCCAATTAACCTACCAGCATGTCATTGGAGTGTGGGAGTAAACCAGAGTACCCGGAGGAAACCCACGCAGGCACAGGGAGAACATGCAAACTCCAGGCAGGTGGTGCCGTGTTTGGGATTCGAACCAACGACCCCAGTACTGCCAGGCGGAAGTGCTAACCATTTAGCCACTGTGCTGCCCTTTTTATTTGTTTTTCATTGCCATCTAATCGTGGAGTCATTTTTGGAGGATATCAAGTACAGAGTTATCTTGGGAGGACATGCCCAGTCTATAAAGCTTGTTTGACTCTTTAGCCATACCAGCAAAGAGTCCTTTCCATCTGGTGAGTGGGGATTGGAGCAGCAATCATGGATGGTGCGAGCACATTTTTGTTGAAGAAGGCAGAAGTGCTAACCACTTCTGTATCTTACGTTGTTTATTGTAATTTTGTTAAACCTCAACATATATTCAACCTAAAAACCTAAAAGTTTATTGATTAAGCCATCCAAAAAGAAAACAGCCATTTTTTGGGGGGTTTGTAATTTTTTTAATGCTTGCAAAAATGCTGGTTATCGGTATCCATTCCCTCACTTTTAAAAAACATTTTAAAAAGTTTCACAATTGTGTCCTCTAAAATTGAACTTATTTCTTGGCTGCCTTGCTTTCTATTTCTAAGCCCAAGAGGTGGGGGGGGGGGGGGGGGGGGTTGAGGGAATTGCTGCAAAACCTCTAATACAGTGGTTCTCAACCTTCCTAATGCCGCAACCCTTCCTCATGTTGCGGTGACCCCCAACCATAAAATTATTTTTGTTGCTACTTCATAACTGTAATTTTGCAGTGGGAGGAGTAGTGCCAAATCACTGATGTCAGTGGGAGGAATAGTGTCCCATCGTTGGTATCGTTGGTATCAGTGGGAGGAATAGTGTCCCATCAGTTGGTATCAGTGGGAGGAGGAATAGTGCCACATCATTGGTATCAGTGGGAGGAATAGTGCCCCATCATTGGTGTCAGTGTGGGAGGAATAGTGCCCCATCATTGATGTCAGTGTGGGTGGGGGGGGAATAGTGCCCCATCATTGGTGTCAGTGTGGGGGGGGGGGATAGTGAATATTGGTGTCGTGGGGGGAGGAATAGTGCCCCCCAGTGGGGGAGGAATCATCATTGGTGTCAGTGGGAGGAATAGTGCCCCATCATTGGTATTAATGACACCAATGATGGGGCACTATTCCTCCCACTGACACCAATGATACTTACCTTGCTGACTCTGCTCCAACCTGGGCTGCTCTTCACGCTGCCTGCAGCAGCAGCCCATCTGCACAGTACAGACACTCAGCTGTCTTCCTCTCCTCTCCAAGCTCCACTCCTCTTTGATCTCGCTCCAATGATTGGCCGCCTGTGTGCCTCTCCTGAGCTACAGTTCTGGCGGGCAATCACCAGCGAGGAGGCAGAGCTTTTGAGTGATCCCAGGGGTGTGGCCAGATGACAGGGGCGGCATGTCATCCACACATTGCCTGGAGATGGATAGAGGAGCAGTGTCTCGGTTCCTAAGACCATCGTAAATATGTGTTTTCCGATGCTCCTAGGCGACCCGTGAAATGGTTGTTTGACCCCCAAAGGGGTCGCGACCCACAGGTTGAGAACCGTTGCTCTAATAGATAACAGTCACATGGCACAGGAAGGCATTACATTGTCAATTGGCCTCTATGGGTGGTAGAAGTGATGGAGAGGAGCTGTAGGACACAGGAAACGGCAGATTCCTTTTAATTTCACTGT